GCATATACTAACAAAAGAGATTTTTTTAAACTAAATATACTATTTTTATAGTCCGCTTTTTCATGAAGGTAAATACAAAAGAAAATATTATTTCATACTTTATCTTAATAGTGTAAAAATATAGAAGTACCTTTTTTCCAATAAGCAACCTTGTGTTTGACACAATATGTGTTAGAGCCAGAAAGTTGAGTATGATAAGAGTTTTCATGGAATTTTCAAGTATAACTACAGGAAAATGAAAAAAATGAAAATAATATAAACTTTTCAGTAAGTAAAGTCCTCAACACTAAACAAACAACTGAAAGGATTTAGGGAAATTCCCTAAAAGTTCAAAATTACTTTCAACTGAATTGGCATGATTATAATAATGTTGCAACCTTTTTATTTATATCTTAAATTTGGGAGAAATACACACAAGTTCGGCTTGCTTGGTGGTCAGGGTCCGAGGGCCCCCTGAGTTTGGGGGCCCCGGTGTACGGCATCGCCTAGCCCATTGGAAGTTACAATGGCGTAACGGAGCCCCCCTGCAAAGTCGGGTTTTGGGCCCCAAGCCCAAATACGTATTTAGCGTCAGTCAAGCTTTGGGCCCCCTAGAGTCCCTGCCCTCCTCGCGGGGATGTACGTTACGTCACTGGTTGGAGGCGCATATGCTTGCTACAATAAATTGCAACACAGTGTAATTTTTATTTTTTAAAATAAGATATAGAGTCATTATATATATACAAATTTTACTAGCAGTAATCGGCATTTCTATTCAGTCTAAAATAAAATTCCAGCTATTTAAATAAGGTACAAGGTTTCCAAAGCTAAAATAATAATATAAAAAATGTTTTCATACCAATTTTTCGTAATAAAAAAAGTATTTTTCAAATTCGATCTAAATGCCACCCCTAAAATTTGCCGCCTCAGACAGGGGTCCAGTTTCCCCAGCCATATAGCCGCCCCTGCTGCTAACATAGAGACAACAGTAAACACGGTAAAGGGCTAAGTGGATTAGAACATATGAAATTACTCTCCAAATAAGAGTATACATGTAAGCGGGCAGATATATAAAAAAAAATCAGGATTAGCTTTTAAAATATGTTTTCTTTTATTTCTGTTCTTTAGTGCTATATTGCGAACGCTTGATTCGCCTGTTTGATTATATGGCATCTGGTTACAATTAAGAATAAAAAAAAACCGCATATAGCTAACATTTTTTTAACATAATACTAAAGTACCATTAAGTTCCGACAACGCAAAATTAAATTTAGAACTTCGCTAACGTTAATAATACTATACGAATACTGAAGTGCTTTTCAAACATGCTTTGTAATGAAAATCATTTATTGAAAAGTCAAAAGAAGAGCTGCAAGATTTTTCCTCTAATAACTTATAATACCAAATAAAACTACCTTTTGATATAAGTATAACACTCTAAAAAGAAAATCGAGCTTTGTTTATAAGTGTTGTAAAACCATAGGCAAAAATAACTTCTTTCCCCTATTTTGTTTTTCTAAATTATAAGGTTATTATTACATTGAAAACTTTTAATTTTCCCAAATTCATATTGAATTTAAATATTATTAGATAAACCGTACATTAGATATTTTCGTAAAGTAACTTTCTCAAAAATCCTTTTTGAGACACCTTTATTAAGCTTCGATCCACAGTGCGCTCGCTGCCAGGGCCGCTATTAAACAAGAGCAGAAAAAACTTTTTTTTAATATGGTATTGTCGGTTTCACCAGGAATTTTGCTATCGGATGAAGGATGTTTGTGAAGAGTAGACATTTATGGATAATCGACCAACACACTGTGCACTAACATTCTATTTTTCTTAAACTACGCTGTGTTATCGGAAATTCAGGACTTGATTTTTCAATAACCATTCAAAATTCAGCATATTTATATTCGATTTATTATAAATTTAATTTTGAGAAATTCGTAAAAAATTTTGTTTGATTGACAAAACCATATACGGCCTGCGGCCGCTCCTTGCTTTGGCCGCCCGCGTGCGGTGCACACCTGCTAGGATCGGCCCTGAGTGAGTGAATATTAACGTCGCACTGTTCAGATACACGAGGACGTTTGGCGACGGACCATGTAATTTTGAACCATGGTCAAGAGATGTGGACGACTCTTGAGCTGGCACTCCACTCTCCTAACTACCACACCACACCAACAGGTGGACGTTTCAGCTCTCGACAGATTTAACGTGTATCGCTGCCCTACACGGCGGGTCTTTAGTGGTACAGGGTTCGAACTCATGACATGCCTGCCATGATCCGTTACCTTGACCACTGGGCTACCGCAGCCTTATATTAATGTTTGAGTACTTCTATATCGTATAAAATATTCCGGATTTGAATCCTATCCTTCAACATTAGCCGAAAACAGCCTTAAAAAACTTATACGGTTCATGAAAAATATTGAGGTCCGTCGCCGTAAGCCCTCGTGTAGCTAAACAGTGCGACGTTAATATTCACTCACTCAATGGAAAATATTGAAGATATCAACGATCTCAAATATTTTGTCTTAGCAATATCGCTATACACCAACTCCATTCAAATTGGAACCATTATTATATCCCCTCCCTTTTCCAGCCAACCATGCTTTGAATATATGAATCATAACTAACTAATAATTCGTTCGAGAAATATTCACCTCAATTCTTCAGTTAAATCAATAACAAGCTAAAAACTCACCGAAAAAACAACTTTTTTGATTGGAAATACATTTATATAAATTAAAGATTTGTTCAACGTGCATTGAATCTGGAGTATAGTGTATAATAACATAAAAGTATATTATACATTTGTTACCAAGCCTTAAATTTCCCTTTTCATGCAGCTTAGTGGCGTAATAATTTCGTTTGCTTCCCATTGCCCATTTTTCTTTCAAACAAGTTATTGGCATTCGCCAGTAAAAGCTGAGTTCGGATCCAAGTCTAAGTTTTATGACCGCCATCGTACATACACGCTCTGCACGACAGTTGAGTGAGTGAATAAATATTAACGTCGCACAATTCAGCTACTCGAAGGCTTTTGGCGACGGACCGCGTAATTTTGAACCATGGTCAAGTGACGAGGATGACACCTCAGCTGGTATCCCTCTTTCCTAACTTCCACACCAAGAGGAGGACTTTGAGCCTCGACAAATTTAACGTGCATCGTCCCCTTACGCTGCGGGTCTTCAGCGGTACTAGGCTTTCAACCTTTTTTTCTGCTGGGCCGCATACATATGTCAGTCATTTCACGCGGGCCGCATACATATGTTAGTTATTTTACGCCGGCCGCAACATGAGGATAAATGGGGGAGGGGGGAGAAATGCTTTATGATCAAGATAATATTGGAAATTTAAAATGTGGAAAATTGATCAAAATATTATAATTCTGGTTTTGCTTTTTTTAATTATTATTTTTTTTATGTTTTGTATTTTTGTTACTAACGCTAAATTAGAAGCATATAAGAAACACTCCTTCACAATTTATGCATCAATATAAACGGTTTCATATGATTACCAATAATAAAACAAACTTCATAGGATGTCTTTGTTACCGCTGTGGTATAACACTGGCAAAACACTGTTGCTGTTGCAAGGATTGCTGTTTCCAGAAAGAGCCTATTTATCACCTCTTGAAAGAGATCTTCGAGGAAAAGTGTCGTTGAATGAGACTCTCCTGTTTATTGGTATTTTTTAAATACAGTACTTTCTTGACAAATCAAACAATTAATGATCCATGTTTGTTTTTCACTACAAAATAATCAATTTCCCAATCGTCTTGAAACGATACATTTACTTCGATTATTTTTCGCTTGCAAAATATGAAAGATAATTAAAAATTAGTTCCACCCATAAAATTGTCGCTACTCCACTGTTGTCTGTTATCACTAACCGTAACCATTCCAAATAGAAAAAGAATATCAATTCGTACTCGTACGACACCGGCAACAAAAAGCAAAATTGATGTATTATATTTCTTGACAAAGAATTTCCCATCAAATTTTTTATACAAAGTAAGTAATAAGTGAATAAAATAAGTGAATTTCTCAGAGCAATGGGTCATGACCGGGCCACTTAAAATGGCATGGCGGACCACATGCGGCCCGCAGGTTGAGTATCGCTGCTCTAACTCATGACAAGCGAGCTGAGTCCGTTACCTTGACTACTAGGCTACCACGGCCACTGCACGACCATTAGAACCGGCCCTACATAAAAAAAATCGTACTGATAAACTGCATGTAAATTCTTTGTCGTTAAATAGTTACTTGATTGTTAAATTTACCGAATCATAGAGGGCATTTGCGTAAGTCATGAAAATTTCATATTGAATGTAGAATTAAGTCGGAGTAATCTTCGTTGATAATATAAAGATTGATAGTAAAAAATGTGTGAAATTTCTTATACCTCTCTGATAAAAGTTACATGGATTTAGAGATACATTTACAACATCCAATATTATAATTTAAATAAATAATATTAAAAAAGTTCAATCTTCAGAAATAAACGCATTAAACAAGCTATTACTTTATAAAAATTTTGTGTTCTTTTTCATTTAATTGTGGGTAAGAAATTTCAAACAATATAAAATCTAAAAAAAAATTATTTATTTAGAAGAAGTTCGAACCATTTGAGTTGATTTTCACGAAGTGGTTCGACTTTTTCAATTCCTACTATTAGTTCTCTGCCCATACACACACACACACACACACATAATCAAAATTCTCTACTAAAGATAGATGAATTATCAATAAGCACCAAAACTGAAAAAACCGAAATTGTAAGATAAGCCAGACATAAGAATTTAGAAAGGATATATTAGAAAATATAATAGAAAGGATATATTAGAAAATATAAAAACAATAGAATTTAAAAAAATATATATGGATGCTACAGCATTATAAACATTGCTGACTTATATAACAGCTCTTATATATAAAATAATTTATATAAAAGTGGGGTTGGACATGTTTTTTGGTCAGCCAACCTTCCCCCTTTCTGTTAATAATACAGCAAAAATCTATTGAAAATAATGGATAAAATATCTAATTTGGATTTCTAATCCAAAGGTCGTGGGTTCGAATCCCACCTGGGATGGCCTAATTTCTGAGAATGTGATTTCTTTTTTACTATACTATTTTATTAGAATAATTAAATTTAATTAATGAATAAATAATAAAAAATATTCCAACACCATACATAGAAAGGAAAATCGCTTTCTATTTTGTCACTTAATATAGTGATTCTGTCATATGTGTATACATATTTATATTAATTGTAACTATTTAATAAAAAGTAACTACAATAAAATTTTTCTTTGTTGACCTAAGTAGGAATTGACTTTAAAAAATGTTTTTTATAGCACTTGCTGCAAATGATTACGCACATTTTCTTATCACTATCAATAAAGTGGTACGATATTCGAAATAGTACTTGACATGATTCAAATCTTATATTTTTGAAATATTTTAAAAAAGATACTAAAGTGTTGGTAAATTATCTTTCCAGGTACATTCAAAAATATAGATTTTATCAAAAACACTATAAATTGTTTTTATTTACTAAATATTTTTAAAGAAAATAGCATGCATTTAACTTACTTCTCAAATACGGTGAAGCAATAGTTTAAAATTTCTCAGTACTTTGGAATCGAATGATTCGTACACATTGCAGTTGCTTTCTGGAAAAGAATGGAAAATATTGAAAAGTAATTAACTTCCTCACGAGAATTAATGATTCAGTTTTCCAAGCATTTTGAAATCCCTCCCGATTACTCAATTCGTTAAGTATTGCGAAAGCAATACTTTGAAAACAATTGCAGTTCTGTGGAAATGGTAATATGATTGCACAACAAATTTAAGTGGTCTTAATTTCTTTTACCCATAAGTAAAAAAATGTTAGACTAATTTCAAAATAAAAAATGGAACACGTGGTAGGAATACGCCTAAAAATGCAAAAAAGAAAATTGGCTAGTATCAATTCACAGAATCACAGATACCAAGGGGAAAAAAACAGGTTTGAAAAATGTATAAATTAGATCCCATACAAAAATAAAACAAATACTTAAAATTGTAGTTTTATGGTTTGTTTTTTTGGATAAAACATTGACTGGATTTCATGATATATGTTATTTTTGTCTTTTTTTCAAAATATTTATGATAGTAAGAATATATACCATAAATATGTATTTTTCACATTTTATTCCTTTGTCTATCAACAGTTTCTCCAACTAAATTATCTATTTAAAAAAATGAATTACATCCGAACCTCTGTATTGTGAATTTTTCTATAAAGCGAACTTTTTCCTGGAACCAAGAACATTTCACGATTTTCTTCGTAAAATAACCTCCCAATAGCGAAGTGCATTTTCTATATAACAAACTTTTTCTCTTGTGATTAATTTTTTTTCTCCCTATTTTTTTAAAGTACTTCTGGACATTTCAAGTTATTCTTTTTAACACGTTTTATGATGGTCATAAATCTTGAACTGGTTTTATTAGGTGCCTAACTCGCCGAGAGCAATATAATTCCGGGCGTTGCTACCTTTAACCCCCATTGTCCAGTTCACATCTTCATTTCCATTTTCAACAACTTCGATTGCATTAACGCATATTTTCAAATAAAAAACTCAAACAAAATTAACAGATTTTATGAGTAATTCAATTTAAGGACGCATTTGATAATGTATGTTTAAAATTGTTTGTGTACTTTAAATTAGAAAATATCCTTAAAATTCGCTAATTTTAATATGAAATTATTTTCTTCATTTTGAAAATACAGTGTATTTCTTTGACATTCTTTTTTCTTGTTTTCCTTTTTTTTATGTGGGTAAAATATATATAAAATAAATATGTGACGGGCTCACGCGTCTTTTCATTAACATGTCCTTTGGGTTCTTTTGGGGCCAGAATTAATGGCTACTCTTTTCCAACCAAAACCCAAGAAATGAAATGTGAATATAAGATGCAAATTAGATAGCTTTTAAATACCAGAAGTTTCAGTAAGTGAGATGGCAATTTGGGGAATGTTATGTTAGAGAGTATGATACAATCGCGAAGTGACAGCCAACAGAGGTTATCCCGAAGATAGAGCCATTAGGTCAAGGTGCATACCATTGCACTCGAGTAAAGACGCAACTTCCTTAGTATCGCATCAACGATTGGATCAAGGTAGGATTGACTATTTAATATTAGGACTTGCGATATTATTGGAATTGAGATTAGGCGGGTTAGATATTGATAATGGTCCGTGTTATGTTATTTCTGTATTACTTGTATTGTGTGTTTGTTCAACGTAGATTCTCTCATATATATTATTATCTAATCTGTTAAACGCTTAAGTTCAAGTTCTTAATAAAGATATTTTAAGAACATGCAAACTTCTCGTTCTTTAGTTGAACCTACACCTCTAGCTCACGCAGATAATCCAAGAGAAGGGCACCCTAGGGGGGCATTTTCACAAATATATATTAATTTACAAAAAGGTGTGAATAATTACTTTTTTTATTGTATTGTGTTTATGAATTTAAAATTTGTTTTATATGGTTTATAAAGTATATTGAAAGGTGAACCTCTATATAACGAATTTACCATATAACGAACTTTTTTCCCCGGGATTTAGTGACTTCGTTAAATAGAGGTCCAACTGTATTATAAATCTTAAAAAAAAAAAAAATATTTTCATAAAATTCGTAGCACATAATATGGGGTACAATTACGTGTGTGGAATTTCATTTAATTCTTCTCTAGCAACTAATTTCAAGATTTAAGCACACTATATCTATAACTTACCGATATATACATTGGTGTGCAAAACTTAAGCAACAATGTAAAAATTTAGCAGATAGCCGTGAAATTGCAGAAAAGGAGGTCTGGAGATCAGTAGAGGGAACACGTAAGTCAGTAGAAACGTCATGCGTATGCAAATATCAGGAACAAAACGTCAGA